CAGACCTGAGTCTACTTGAGTCCAGAGAGGAGGGTCTGTTACATTCATGTGGGCAAGAGTCATGTCCATTTGAATCATTTCTGAGTCCACAAAGCCTAATCCATTACCTGGCATGGAGTGGTCCCTCTGTGAATATTTGTAGGATGAATGAATGAATATGGCTAGAATGTTAGCTTGGCTTCATGGAGAAAGAGAACCTCTAGGCCTTCACGGGCAGCAAAGGATGAAACTGATGTAGATAAAAAGGAGCAAGCATGGGACCCGTAGATGGCATAGTGGTTACATTGCTGGACTTCCACATGACTGACCATGGTTTGAGTCCCAGACCTAGTGACTTGAAAATCACTCCAGGTGTGTGTGTGTGTGTTTGTGTGTGTGTGTGTGTGTGTGTATGTGTGTGTGTGCATGCGTGTGTGTCCAAAATCCTGTGAGAAGAATGGACCAGAAGAGATTGTGGCATGCCATTCCCTTGGGGTGATTTCTTCTCACTGGGTCTGTCTATCTTTTTGTCTGTCTCTGTCTCTCTCTGACAAACGCACATGCCCTAAGGCAAAAACCTCTAAAATAAATTACTAATATAGTATTAAAAAGAGGAGCAAGGGTACAATTGTATTAATGACAATAAATACAATGAACTTAGAGGGAATGAAGAATTTTACCTGATTGGATCACACTGTACACGTGTTGATAAATGCTGGAAAATAAGTTTATCTCTCTAGGTAGGATGCAAGAATTCAACTTTGCTAAGTAATTTGAGAAGGAGCCATGAAAGGTTTTTGTGTGTGTAGATGGGAAAAAGGACCAGGAAAAGATGGTGCTTAAATGATCAGGAGGAAGGAGTTCAGAGAAACTGGAGCTAGGAGGCCTTTGAGAAAGTGGTAGGCAGAAGTGGGTAATAAGAGCAAAGATTTCAGAGAGGGTGATGAGAAAGGATAGAAAGGGACAGATCCGAGATGTTTTGGTGGAAAATAGGACTTGATTCCATGACTATAAGGTATGTGACAATCTTATCAAAGACTTGGGAAGGACAGAAGATTTGGGATAGGAGAAAAGTGGTTTTGGAAAAGTTGACACAGGTGTGACAGTGACGTTCAGTTGCTATCCTCTTAGATCATTTTCAAGAAGGGTGGAGAAGGCATGTTACTGGCAGAGATTTGAATATTGCCAGCATAGAGGCTGTCAAGGAAGAGTGTAGCTCTTCGTGATGGCTATTGATTTCTCCCATAATGTGCTAGTTAGAATTCAGCTTTCATAACATTGACAGCAATAGCACGTAACAAACAGCACCATCCTCAGCATCGACTGAGTTGTATTTCCAGTGTTCGTGTTCCATTGAGATGTAGAGCCACATTGAATGATGTCTATGTCAGTGATACTCCCAGGAAGTGGGAGGTTTCAGATTTCCAGAGGTGTGAACTGGGTATTTAAGTGCACCTGGAAGATTGCCATGCTGAGTGTCTCTTGTCTGCACATCCAGAACTCCACTGTGGCTGAGACAGGCTTCCCATCTGGTGGTGAGTTATTTTTGCCTTTCAGAATATGAGCTGCAGGTGTACCTCTGTTCTTAATTAAGCAAAGTATTAAGCTCCTAACACATTTTGCAGCATATACCAAAACCTCAGATATGAGTGGGTCATATTTATAAATCTTTTGTTTCTTAAACAAAAAATTTAGTTGTATTTCTGCCATGCTATAAACTTTTGAAAATTATTTATTTAATTCCATTTGTTATTGTTATTATTTTTTAATTTGATCACACAGAGACAGAGAGAGAGAAAGGGAAAGTAAAAAAGCAAGCCACCATATCTGGGACTCACATTACGGTCAGCCATGTGGAAATCCAGCACCTTTAACCACCACGCCATCAGCCGGCACCAATAAACTTTTAGTACCCATAAGACTATTCTTTTGAAATGTTTTAATTTTTTTAAGTTTATTTATCTCTATGAGAGAGGAAGACAAAGAGAAAGATATACATTGGTACACCTAAACAGTGTCCTCACACGGAGATCCTATTGCCAGCCTCAGCCAGCCAGGATCATGGGTGCATGCACCTGTGCCCAGCGTGCACAGAGAGACCTGAGAACAGGAACCCGGGACTTTCCCATATGGCTTCAGTTCAGCATGTAAAGCATTGCTTTAACCACTGTGCTACCATGACTAGTCCTGAAATAATTTTAGTTTCAAATTCTTTCTGTCTGATTTGGACACGGAAGGAATGCTATATTTCCACTGAGTGAAGATTTCTTTTCATAGTGTTATCTCAGCCATAGCAGTGCTTTGTGTGTGTGTGTGTGTGTGTGTGTGTGTGTTTTAACTTTATTTATTTATTTTTTATTTCAATGTATTTATTTGCATTCATTCACTGTACATCATTATAGCATACAAAATGCGATTTTCCATCCAGAGTACACTGTATATTGTCTCAATCAAGCACATCAACAAACATGTTATTTTTATTGAATCACCAAAGACCCTAATCAATCCAAATACCCTCATAGCAAACACAGGTGACACACACATTTCCATGAACACAAGTCTAACTTTATGCAACCTATAACATACTTTATTGAATCACCAAAGACCCTAATCAATCCAAATACCCTCATAGCAAACACAGGTGACACACATATTTCCATGAACACAAGTCTAACTTTATGCATCCTATAAAGTAGCACCTAGCTGGGGCTACATATCCTACTGCAGTTGTTGAATAGATATATTTTTTTTCCTGAAACTGTTTTTTTTTTGGAACTCAATTTACATTCCTTCCCTAAGCATCATCACAGCACACAAAATGCGATCTCCCATCCAGTACACACTGCATAGTGACTCAGTCATGCACATTACAAAAAAAAATTTCCATTTCTAGTTCCTAGAATTATTTCCACCCCTCTTTCTGACCCTCTGTCCCTTCCCACCCTCCTCTCACACCACCTCCGG